AAATTATTCTGAATCATCATAGAAGTCAGGTTTTCTGTTCCCACCTCTTCACTCTCTCACTGGATTTTGTGTGAAAGAGATTCTACTGTCACACAATTAAGCAGCCTTGAATTTATTATAGGTGTTGTAATTAGAGGAAAAATCTTCCTAATTAGAGAAAATATCTATAGAATCTTCTAGAATACTTTTCAGAATATTTTTCCTTATTTTAGAAGATTAGATTGTTACAAATAGGTATAAGGAAAATGTAATATGTACGAATAATAATAATAAAATTATTCTCCTTTCCAAGTTGGTATCAGAGCTCCCGATCTTGGGAGCTCCGTTTCCGCTGCAAACAGTAGCCACCGCCGCCGCTGTCCGGCCACTGCAGCTGCCATCGTAGCTGTTGGGGCCGTTGATAGGGCAGAAAGGTGCGCCCAACTCCGGCGAACACAACGCCGGAATTCGCTCCGGGAAATACGGCGCCACGCGCCGCCACCGTCGCCGGCGCGTGTAGCCCACGCGCCTAGCTCCGGCGAGACCCACTCACCGCCGCCGCTGCAGAAAGAGTCGCCAGAGCCTCCTGAGTCCATTTCAGGGGTCGGTGACGTCTCATTTGGCCCAGATTTGAGTAGATCTGATTTTTGAGTTCTGCTCCTCTTTCCGGTGTATCCCACACGTCGTCATTGTCTCGGATAAGGGTCACCAGATTGTGTTCCAAAGGATGGCTGAGGTAAAAATTATTCCTTTGGGTCCTAATGATCTTCCAAATGTGGTGGGTTCCTATCGGTTAGATGGTCGGAATTTCCTACAGTGGAGCCAGTATATTCGAAGGATTCTCAAGGGACGTTCAAGACTAGATCACATAGATGGTGGAGGGCCAGGACCAGACAACTCAAATTTTCCAATTTGGGACAATGAAGATTCATTAATTATGACTTGGATGTGGCATTCCATGATTCCTGCGATAAGTCGAAATTATGTGTTTCATTCTTCTGCCACAGAAATATGGGATGATTTACAGAGTACTTTTTCATTAAAAAAAGATTTTGCTGCATGTTATGACATTGAAAGTAGAATATTTAATACTAAACAGGGCTCTCTTTCCGTATCAGAATATCACGGAATCCTGAATGGACTTTGGATTGAATTAGATCAGTACCAAACAATAAAGATGTGTAAAACAGATGCTGCTGCACATGGTGAAGCCATGGAAAGAGGAAGAATCTTTAAATTTCTCCATGGCCTAAATCATGAGTACGACCCAATCAGGGTACAAATCTTAGGAAGAGAAAAATTACCATCCCTATCAGAAGTATTTTTTATGGTAAGAGGAGAAGAAACTCGAAGAGTTGTCATGCTTGATGGGGGGATCTCCAACACAGGCTCTGCCATGACAACTGGAAAGGGGGTCCACAAGGGAGCAAATGTTGGAGGAAAGTCATTTGAAAAAAGTAATCGTGGAGACTATTGTTCATACTGTAGAAGATCTGGACATACCAAGGAAACATGCTTCAAACTCCATGGAAGAAATAATGTTCTCGAACACATGGGTAAAAACAAAGGGTCCGCTCAACGATGGGCAAATCATACTCCCTCAGAACAGGAAGCCACCAATCAACCCAGTACTTCACCACCACCTGAACTTGATATGAAAGCTTATAAGGAGGAACTCGAGCGCTTGAAGGCAATGGTTGAATCAATGAGTAAGCCCTCTGGATCATGTACTCTATCCATGAACGGTAAGATTTGTCTCAATACTGTTGGTCCTATGTCTCAAGGTATTTGGATTCTTGATTCAGGAGCAACTGATCATATGACACCTTTTCGTGTGTTCTTCAACTCATATGTTAAAAGAAATAGAGAACAACTTATTACAGTTGCGAATGGTCAGGGTATACCTATATGCGGCTCTGGGAATATAATTTTGGAATCGTTATTGTATTAAAGGATGTTTTACATGTTCCACAATTAGCCAATAGTCTTATCTCTGTGAAAAAACTCAAAGGATTTAAATTGTTCAGTGACATTTTTGTCAACTTATTGTGTTTTTCAAGACCTTGCCACGGGGAAGACGATTTTAACTGCTAAGGAGCAAAGTGGGTTGTATTTGTTGGAGTCTGATGACCAAAGCAAAACAAAAATCATGAGTCAAAAAGCTACATCTGAGACATGGGCAAATTCCCAAATATGGCTACATCATAAAAGGCTTGGGCATCCTTCATTCAACCTTATCAAGTCCTTATTTCCTCATTTGTTTACCAAAGAGTCAGTTGAGTCTTTTAATTGTGATATTTGTCAATTGTCAAAGCACCATCGTGCATCTTATCCTATTAGTAATTAAAAGAGTATTTCTCCATTTGATTTAATTCACTCTGATATTTGGGTTGGATGAATTACATGGGGGCCATCGTATTCTCCAAAATTGATATTAAGAGTGGTTATCACCAAATTAGAATCAAAGAGGGTGATGAATGGAAAACCGCTTTTAAAACCAAGTTTGGTTTGTATGAATGGTTAGTGATGCCTTTTGGTCTCACCAATGCCCCTA